TAACTTGCTGAGTTAGTTGTTGCTGTTTTCCTGTTCCTCCTTTCCATTCTTTCCCCTTCAATATTTATTTTCTCTATATATCCCTAGAATAAGCATTTTATAAAGAATACAGCTGCCATTATCTGGACAAGCAACATTTAAGATTTAAAATGTAAAATGAAGCCAATGATCTGACAGGGGGAGTGGAAGGTGCAAGGAATTTATGGGAAATATCTTACTTGTAGTTTAACAGGAAGGATAAGGGTCAATCATGGTTTATGCAAAGATAAATTATTAATTTTCACTTGTTTTTGTTTTTGTTTTGCATACAGCATGGATGTATGCCCCCCTCCCCCATTATTTAATTACCTGGTAGCTAGTTTATTGAGCATAAATTGGAAGAAACTCAGTCACAATGCTTAATGACACCTTTAGTTAATCATTGTCTCTCAGCTTAACTTATCTTGGAGAACTGTGAGAACAGGACAGGACCACGTATGCTGGCTTGAATTCCTTATAAGGAGGATGGGAATAAGGGAGGACTGGAATCCTCTGTGATTGTGTTTTATGCTGCCTAAACAATAAATGTGTTGATTGGGAACATCACTATTTCCACAGTTCCTGAGGCATAGTAGTCCTGAAAAAGGAAGCTATTCTTTACATTTTGGAGGTTAGTGAACCTAAGAAATCACTAAGGATTTTTTTAGGGATTAGCGCCTCAGCAAAATACATTCTTTAATAAAAAAAAGTACATTGATATATGTCTTTTGAATATACCAAAACAGTCTTTACCTGAAATGACAGTGACAATAGATCAGTTTGCATATACTACATTGTTAATATTTTTCATGTTCAAATGTGGATTTAAATGTGAATCCTCCAGTTCTAATATTTGTTTTGTAGAAAGAAACGTTTTAGAATGTTTCCACAAGATCTGAAAGGGCTGCACCAACTTTTAAACTGATTCCTCTGAAGATTTTATTTTACTCAGAGCTATAATCCTTCTCCCTCTCTCTCTCTCTCTCTTTCATTCACTGGCAGATTCTTTTTTATGGATGTAAAAATAATAGAATCTGTTGACAAGAATTAGTCCCAACCTCTTTTTTTCCATTGCTGAATTATATACCTAGTCAGCATGAAATTTACTGCTACCATTGCTGATCTCTATCCTGCTTCTGAACATTACCAGCCATCAGGGAAAAACAAAACAAAAACAGCCCAAAGCCATCCACCAATCATTGTGCAGCAGCAGGAACATGAGTAGTGGTGTCTTTCTGCCGGACTGATTTCATCTCTAGACTCCAGCCTATGGTACTCCTCCTACATCCCATTGAATAAGTTTAAAAAAATAAAACAGATTGACGTCAAGAAGGGGGCAAAAGCGCAAGCAACACTTTTATTTAGGATTTCACTCTTTTTTTAAAAAAGATTTTTTTTAACCTGCCTTTCTTATTTTTATAAATGACTCAAAACAATGAACATACCTAATACTCCTTCCTCCTCCTATTTTCCCCATAACAACCACCCTGTGAGGTGAGTTGGGCTGATAGAGAGGAACTGGCCCAAAGTCACCCAGCCAGCTTTCATGCCTAAGGCAGGACTAGAACTCTCAGTCTCCTGCTTTCTAGCCTGATGCCTAAGCAATAAAGGCCAATGTCCATATTTTCCTAAGGTTGATCCTGTCATTCCACTATTTGCTGTTGCAGTCTTTGGCTAAACTATTAAAGGCCACAGAATATAAATACTTACTGTATGTCTGCTGTGGAGACTAGTTCTGTTGTATAATTCTGATAGACCACTGGCACACGTCTGCTGTGTTTGGATGCAAACAAAGAATATAGTAAACTGGTGGAAGATGGGCTGACCAGAAATGGGCTTGCTGCCATCACCATGAAATAACCAGTGGGTTTCAATCTAAGCCAACCCATTACTAATCACCTGACTTTATCTTAGGGATAATGATATAAGTATAACAGATTTTACACATCTTGCAGCTATTCTTAGGTTCTATCAGCTTAAGGTAGAAAAATCTACTTTAACATTAGTACAACTATGAATGACTTATGGCTGTGTCACTCATGGTCTGGGGATGAAAAGAAGACCACTTGTTGTCAGGTCATGTTTGTATCATGATTAGGCACAAGTGGAGGAAGATCCCAGTGTCATTTTTTGAAACTTGGGAACCACAGATAAAATATTGAAAAACTACTACTTCACATCTTTCATACCATGACCCCACCATATAAACCTTCTTTTAAATTCTTGGCATGGTTTCCAGGTTTTCCACAGACATTCTCTTAGATTTATGGGCAGAGAAATCAGGTGGATTTTTCTCTGGATTTTTCCAGAATGGCCAATTTTCTGAAAAATTTTCAAGTGTAGGACTGCCACATAACAAGGACAGAAGCACCACAACTGTAATGTAAAATGCCCACTCAGAGATATTTTCTCATGATGTCTTCCCTTAAGATTCAACTGAAGCATGAAAAAACAAGAACAACACCCACTACTGGACAGAGGATTATAGAACAAAATGCAGGTAATTCACACATCCCTAGGCTAGCTTATAACTAAATAAGTGCAAGAATGTCATTATCTATGAATGTCTGCAATTCTTTTCTCATTCAGCATTATTTCTAAAGCAAATTATTTTTCATTAAGCTGAATAAGAATTGATAGGAAAAAAACACAGGAAGTTTTCTCCATTTGATTCTAATTTAGAGTAATCTGCCTGGCATTACTTTGAACATTTGTATATCTGATCAAAGGGCTCAAGGACTGTTCTGAACTTCCTGAAGAAAGTTTCCCAAAATGGTAATCAGTGTAATTGTGTACTGTTAGGTCTATTGGTAAGGAGATTTGATTGGGTTAGAATGCAACTAGATGGGATAGTAATATACTTTTAAGTACAGTAAGTATTTTAAAGTACAGTAGGCTTTAACAAAGAGTGATCTTAATAAAAGAGAATATCTGTAGCTCAGGGTTGAACTGTGGAGTTCTTGGTGCTCTCAGGGCACTGATAATGTTACCTAGTTGGATCATAAAGTATCTGCAAGCAAACAACTGAGCTTAGAGACACCAAGAACTCCAAAGAGTGATCTCTGTATTGAAACCATATTTTAGGGCTATTTTTCCTGCAGTGTGCTACAGGGAGAGAAAAAGAGAGAGAGATTATTCAAATCTTCCCAGCTATATCAATATAGTAGTAGTCTTAATTATATATATAAATCTTCTATATTACTAACTTACTAAGTTATCTCTGAATATAATGGTGACCATAAAATATGGACATTTTTACTGCACAGATATGATCTCAAAATAGTAAACCAATCAAGGATAGTATTGCTAATTAAGTTCATCCAAATCTGTTTCCCAACAAATAAACTTGTCATATATTATAAAACAACAGTCCATCATTGTATATTAGCCTATTATTTCTCATTGGAAATAATAATGCCATAGAAAAGGTTTCCCCAACCTGAGGACCTTCGAGGACTCCTTCTGGAAAGCCCTCAAAACATGGCTGCATAAGCAGGTTTGGGGATGTCACGGAAACAGTGATCTCATGAGATGGCTACATTGCTTTTAGCATCATTCTTCTCTACTGTCTTGCTATTAATAATATTGTTGATGTTTTTAAATATTCTTGTTTTAATATTTTGATTTTATGACTGGTTTTTGTTTTATTGTGCACTACCTACAGTCACTTTTCTGTGAGATTGGTGGCTATATAAATATGATGAATAAAAATTAAAAAAAAATTCCAGAATTTCCAGTCAACATGGCTATAGCAGACCATAACAACTAATATTTCTATTTTCATTAAACAGCAGTTTAGAACAGTAAAGTCCAAAACCAACCATACAGAAGCTATATAAATTTACCCATCTGACTATCATCATCAGAGGAGCTGGAAGCTAAATACACAGTAAGGAACTTCTATGATTGTATAGAGGCAAAAGTGGGGAAGAATCAGGATTAAAAAGTTAAAATAAGAGTAACAAACTCCCATGTAGTGGCCAACACTACAGGTTAAAAGTCAGTCTCCACAGGACTTTAAATACTTGGCTTTTTCTCAGTGAAGAAAGCTAGCTAATTCAACTGGGTATATCATGGATTTTACATCGTATTTCAGAGCTTTACAGCTAAACCCATTAGAGGCTATAATTAACATCTTTCTCCCTACCACCTTCCTCTGAAGAACAGGAAGTGACTTAACTATACTGTATTTTGAAACATGGCTAAACTAGTACACACTCTCTTCTTTAGGGGATTCGTCACCATGGTATTGATAAAATAAGGAAATAGATTTAAATACGACAGACAACTGATATACGATCAGATCCCACATGTGACATAGCTGCTCACCGCAGGCTTCCAGTTAATGGTTTTGCTTCTGATATCGATGCAAATATGTGTGCTGTGTGTGTGCCTGTGTGTGGTTTATTCATTTTAAATTGATCTTTTGCTAAACATTAATTATTTTAAATTATTTCTCAAGAAATAAAAAGATATTTACATGGTAAGTATCTACATTATACCATCAGTATGAACATGCACCAGTGAGGGCCTCTTCAGAAATCTGGTCAATTGTGGCTGGGCCATTTTGTGCATCCCACCCACCCTCATTGGGATCTAAAAAAATTATTTCAGAAGGGACCCCACAGAAACAGTTTTCAAGATTTATCAGATAGTACCAGTGAGCTGAAAGGCCTTGACATAGACAAGTCTGGTAGGAGCAATTAAATAGCTTTTTGAGATTGCCACTGGCAAAACAGCACAATTCTTTCCATTTAAATTCAGGGTCTTATACCGAGTTTTCATTCAGCTGTATATCATACTGTGATACAGTTTGCCAAATGCTCAATTTATGAATGTCCCCTGGAAAACAAAACAAAAAAACAAAAATTCCACACCATAATATTAATAATAATAACAAGAAGAATTTCCTTTTATATAATCATAATATTAATTACAAAATAAAAACTGGGAAACATTGTTGTCAAAATGGATTCCTGGTATTAAACACTAGTGCAGTTCGGTATTTCCTTTGTGCTTTCACTGTTGGAGATCGTTGAGATGCTTCCTAAGCAGAAGAAGAAAGGGAGAGTAAATAGATTTGCAAATTGCATCTTGATTTCATTCTGAATATTGTTTATGTGCCAAACACTGAATAGTTTTGTGTATTTGCTAATTTCTTGTGGATGCCCTTTCACAATTTTGCTTTAATTTGAACACATATTGTTCTTTATCCTGATAGGTGAATGGTATGTGGAAATTGATACACAAAGAACAAAATTGCATTTCCAGCTATGTTTTGGCTGAGAATCCCAGAAATAACTCTATATAAAATTAGGACATTATACCCTAGCCATATGAAAGCATAGAGTTATGGAAAAGAGACTGATAGTGTGACAGATGGAAATCAGATGAGAAAGAGTTAAGCAGAGATTCAGACATTGAAGGGGAAGCGGTAACTTCCTTTTTGTGATGTGAACCATCACTGGGCTGTCTGTTCCAATTTCTCAATCACTTTTTCCTTATTTATTGAAACACAGTTTATGTGTTTAATAGTGGCCTTCTAATGCTTTATTATTTTTCAAGAGTTGAAAAATTTCCAGGAAGAAAAACATTATAATATTCTCCAGAAAATAATGTATGTAAGGATTAATTCTCACAAAATCAGGGTAACAGATCTGTCTATTGCAACAGTAAGGGGCAGATGGAAACTGGCCTTCCCACACAAAAGAAGGGCCCAGGCAGCCTGGCCCAGTGCAGGAAAGGAAAAGGCCTCCCAAAGAATTTGAATATATATATGTATGTATGTATGTATGTATGTATGTATGTATGTATGTATGTATTTGGTTTGCTCTTGAAACATAGCAGTCACTAGAATTCTTTTGTTATGGCTTCCTAACTTTTCTTTAATAAATATTACTTATTGTAAGTTCTTGGGATCTTATGAGTTTGCCTAATTTATTATAGTCCTGCCTGTTGGGTAAACTTGACAATATATTTCTTGAATTTTCTACTAATATAAATCTATTTTATGTGAGAAATATTTACATTCATCAATGGGGTAAGACAAGAAGCAAATAATTTTCTATATTTTAAGGAATGTACAATCATATGTTGACTTTGAATTATGAACCAGGATCAGATAAATTGTTGGGGTAGGGGTCAGAACAAAAACTAAAATTGTTTAATTTGAATTATCTATTCATATAATATAAATTAATTAAATGAAACATTATGATCACTTTTCCTCCTTGTTTCACACTGACAATTCAGGTCCTTAGATTGGGCATGTCTGGTTAAGGGATGGTGACTGTCATTGTCATTGACTGGATTCCCACAATGTTTACCTATAGCCTGTGTGTCCAACTCTTTGTCCATGAGTTCTTCAGGGTCTGTGAATTCACTAAGTGTGATTTTGGGTGTATTTTCATTTTGGCTGACAGAACCAATCATCTCCTGTTCTTTGTCATGTTGGACCTGAGCATAGATGTTGATCCATGGAATTTTCCTGCATATAAAGGAAACAGATCTTCAGTTATATATTTAACTATTCTAAATTATAAAAATAGTTGTCTTCTTAACAGTAACAGTGATTTATCATTTAGATATGTTGTATCACAAAAATAAGAGGAAGAAAGTAAGATGAGGAGTATAGTTAACATTTTGAAATGTCTCAGAAAGTGCTGGGCCTAATTTCAGTACATATGCAGGAGAAAGTATTCAACATGTTATAAAAAATTCACAAGAGAGTCAGACCTGGAAGACTTAAAACCTAGATCTTCAGTTTATGAGAGCTGAAGTCATATGCATCCAATACAAACCATGAGACACCCCCCCCCAAAAAAATTGAAATTTGCACTAAAATATCACAGTACAAGCCTAGCATTTTGTATTTGAGTCCTGACTATGTAAGTCACATGATTTGTGTAATGATGTTGTAACATGTATTTTACAATTTGTACCCTCCCCCTCCATTGATACATATGCTCTCTGTCTCACACACACACACCCCTTAGAACATCTGCATAAAGGGAAAGAAATAAACATTTAAATTAATTGGAGAAAAAGTACAAGATCTTCATTTTCTAAATCATGTTTAGAAAAATTTTCACTGGATCAAGTTTTTGTAGCATTTGCATGTTGGATTTCTAACCCAGTAAAATCCTATTTAATGAAACAATTGGGGGAAGAGATGGCTTCATGGGAGTATTGGAATGGAAGGAAACAATTGAGTAGGCTTCTCTGATCTGAATCTAACCAAAATCCCCTGGGAATTTTGTGGGATTCTTGGAATATTATACCATAGAGTTTAAATCCCTAAATATCAGATGAGATACATTTCCACTTCTGTCTTTAAATTGGTGAATACTTCTGCAGCCACTTAAAGTTACATGCTCTGTTACAAACAGCAAATGCTGTAATTTTCTAATGCTGCTGTAAGATATCTGATACATGATACATGATGTCAACTAATAAATTCATGAACTTATCAAAGACAATCAGATTAAACAGCAGTGACAGCAACTGAAGCAAAGGTATTAAAGAGGAGTCCTGGACAACAAAAACAATTTTGTTGTTTAAATAAGGAACTTATTTGTACCAAAGTTTATCAAAAAGAAAAGAATAACAGAAAATATTTAACAAATCTGAATGGCAACATATACCTCACTATCCGTTCTGTGTTCAGATTGATTGCTTTTCCAGGCAGTTAGAGCTATCATGAGCTTTCTGCAAAATAAATGTTGTGTAACTCTTATTCGCTTCCTTCTGACATCCTTTTAAATGGTTGTTAAATGGCTGGGAGGAAAAATAGTCAACATTTCTGCTTAATCTTATTTTCTCCAGGGCAAAGTTATCAGGTACCTTTGATCTTTCTGTATGATTTATCTTTTGAGACCTGTATGATCATCCTAGTTCTCTTGCAAATTATGAGCCAAGCTCATTTAGCTTTGGTGCATGCTTGCCTGATTTTATAATCTTAATTAGGCCATTAATAACTCATATAATATGTCATTATTTCTTGGAAAGCTTGCCTGGGTTTTTTTTCTGTTTCTGCTCCTAGTATCTCTACTAGCTGCTAAGCCTTTTAAACTTAAATGGGGTTTAGGTTTTTCCTTCTCTGCCATATTATAGAAGCCAAATAAGAAGAAAAAAATCAGAATTAAGTTCCATACTCTCAGCTTAATCCAAATGTTACCACTAGATTTCACAGGGGTCACCTAAGTAAATACATTTCCAAAACAATATATGGAAAATACATATGGAAATGTCCAGAGCTTATTGAATAGAATGCCTTATCTCAGAAAATGTATTTTCCCTGACACACTTTTGATTAAATTTGGATGGTCATGAAGGGTTACACAAGGTGGGCTGGCCCCACTAAGATGCTTTATGCTGAAGAAGCAATGTATCTGCCTTGATTCTTCAATCTGAAGCACAAAGACAGGGCTGATCTGTCCTGACCAGCCACTTCACTTAGATAAAAGTGGCTTCCACACATCTGCAGAAGCCATTTTTCTTGACCACTCTTCTACTTAGAAATAGGAAGCTGCTTCAGTTTGTTGAGTTCTTTGAAGATGTGCTTTAACAGCACTTTCATCAAAACAAAAGCACCCCTGCACAGTTCTAGATATCATACTAATGAAAGATCTGAGCCTCCTGAATCAATAAAACTTGTCTCCTTCTCTGTACATGGCAGACCAAAAGAAGACAGCAACATAAAAAGACAGCTCCCTCAGTCTTCAGCTGAATCCTGCTGGAATTATGAAACGAACT